ATCTTGTAGACACACACTCACTCACTCACTCACTCACTCACTCACTCACTCACTCACTCACTCACTCACTCACTCACTCACTCACTCACTCACTCACTCACTCACTCACTCACTCACTCACTCACTCACTCACTCACTCACTCACTCACTCACTCACTCACTCACTCACTCACTCACTCACTCACTCACTCACTCACTCACTCACTCACTCACTCACTCACTCACTCACTCACTCACTCACTCACTCACTCACTCACTCACTCACTCACTCACTCACTCACTCACTCACTCACTCACTCACTCACTCACTCACTCACTCACTCACTCACTCACTCACTCACTCACTCACTCACTCACTCACTCACTCACTCACTCACTCACTCACTCACTCACTCACTCACTCACTCACTCACTCACTCACTCACTCACTCACTCACTCACTCACTCACTCACTCACTCACTCACTCACTCACTCACTCACTCACTCACTCACTCACTCACTCACTCACTCACTCACTCACTCACTCACTCACTCACTCACTCACTCACTCACTCACTCACTCACTCACTCACTCACTCACTCACTCACTCACTCACTCACTCACTCACTCACTCACTCACTCACTCACTCACTCACTCACTCACTCACTCACTCACTCACTCACTCACTCACTCACTCACTCACTCACTCACTCACTCACTCACTCACTCACTCACTCACTCACTCACTCACTCACTCACTCACTCACTCACTCACTCACTCACTCACTCACTCACTCACTCACTCACTCACTCACTCACTCACTCACTCACTCACTCACTCACTCACTCACTCACTCACTCACTCACTCACTCACTCACTCACTCACTCACTCACTCACTCACTCACTCACTCACTCACTCACTCACTCACTCACTCACTCACTCACTCACTCACTCACTCACTCACTCACTCACTCACTCACTCACTCACTCACTCACTCACTCACTCACTCACTCACTCACTCACTCACTCACTCACTCACTCACTCACTCACTCACTCACTCACTCACTCACTCACTCACTCACTCACTCACTCACTCACTCACTCACTCACTCACTCACTCACTCACTCACTCACTCACTCACTCACTCACTCACTCACTCACTCACTCACTCACTCACTCACTCACTCACTCACTCACTCACTCACTCACTCACTCACTCACTCACTCACTCACTCACTCACTCACTCACTCACTCACTCACTCACTCACTCACTCACTCACTCACTCACTCACTCACTCACTCACTCACTCACTCACTCACTCACTCACTCACTCACTCACTCACTCACTCACTCACTCACTCACTCACTCACTCACTCACTCACTCACTCACTCACTCACTCACTCACTCACTCACTCACTCACTCACTCACTCACTCACTCACTCACTCACTCACTCACTCACTCACTCACTCACTCACTCACTCACTCACTCACTCACTCACTCACTCACTCACTCACTCACTCACTCACTCACTCACTCACTCACTCACTCACTCACTCACTCACTCACTCACTCACTCACTCACTCACTCACTCACTCACTCACTCACTCACTCACTCACTCACTCACTCACTCACTCACTCACTCACTCACTCACTCACTCACTCACTCACTCACTCACTCACTCACTCACTCACTCACTCACTCACTCACTCACTCACTCACTCACTCACTCACTCACTCACTCACTCACTCACTCACTCACTCACTCACTCACTCACTCACTCACTCACTCACTCACTCACTCACTCACTCACTCACTCACTCACTCACTCACTCACTCACTCACTCACTCACTCACTCACTCACTCACTCACTCACTCACTCACTCACTCACTCACTCACTCACTCACTCACTCACTCACTCACTCACTCACTCACTCACTCACTCACTCACTCACTCACTCACTCACTCACTCACTCACTCACTCACTCACTCACTCACTCACTCACTCACTCACTCACTCACTCACTCACTCACTCACTCACTCACTCACTCACTCACTCACTCACTCACTCACTCACTCACTCACTCACTCACTCACTCACTCACTCACTCACTCACTCACTCACTCACTCACTCACTCACTCACTCACTCACTCACTCACTCACTCACTCACTCACTCACTCACTCACTCACTCACTCACTCACTCACTCACTCACTCACTCACTCACTCACTCACTCACTCACTCACTCACTCACTCACTCACTCACTCACTCACTCACTCACTCACTCACTCACTCACTCACTCACTCACTCACTCACTCACTCACTCACTCACTCACTCACTCACTCACTCACTCACTCACTCACTCACTCACTCACTCACTCACTCACTCACTCACTCACTCACTCACTCACTCACTCACTCACTCACTCACTCACTCACTCACTCACTCACTCACTCACTCACTCACTCACTCACTCACTCACTCACTCACTCACTCACTCACTCACTCACTCACTCACTCACTCACTCACTCACTCACTCACTCACTCACTCACTCACTCACTCACTCACTCACTCACTCACTCACTCACTCACTCACTCACTCACTCACTCACTCACTCACTCACTCACTCACTCACTCACTCACTCACTCACTCACTCACTCACTCACTCACTCACTCACTCACTCACTCACTCACTCACTCACTCACTCACTCACTCACTCACTCACTCACT